AACATGACTAAGGTGCTGCTCCTCTACCTATCAGCTTCTTCCCAGAGTTCTTCTCTCCCTGAAGAGAAGCTGGAAGCCAAAAGACCAGGATTTCTCTTCTCCCACGCTTTCTTGAATTCCACTCTCATGAAGATGTGGATCATGGAGCAATCAATATCCACCAATGAAGAAAGTATTAACAACTTGCCTTGAGGCCACGGTTACTTACATTTGTTGAGTTGAATTATAAATCAATTTCTCGACACTTGTATGTCCTATAAATACCACATATTCTATTATTTACAATCTTTCAAAAAATGTTGCTAATCCAGTTGGCTTAGAATAGTCGTTATGCTTTTCCAGTTTGTGTAGAACTAGTTTAAGAACTGGTGTACCTATAGGAAGATAGGTGAGTACATATGCAAATAGCCTGATTGCAAATATAACTGAAACACTGATGAATCTTACCCTTGATACTTATCTTGAAGAAAACAATAACACAGGCAGTTTAAATCACCACAGTTTTGATCAACCAGTTTATTTAGCTATGTTTAAGTAAGTGTAAGTTGGTGTATAAATATCTTTTGTTGTTGTTGAGTCAATTAGTTGTACCTTACTCTTCATGACCCCATTTGGGGTTTTCTTGGCAAAGATACAGAAGTGGTTTGCCATTTCCTTCTCCAGCTCATTTTACAGATGAAGAAACTGAGGCAAAGTGTTAAATGACTTGTCCAGGGGCACACAACTACTAAGTGTCTGAGGTCACATTTGAACTCAGGTCCTCCTGACTCCAGGCCAGGGGCACTCTATCCACCTCACCACCTAGCTGCCATAAATACTCTTTGCTTGTTTCAATACAAAAGGTAAAAAGAATTGGGGCCATAATTTGAATAATCAAACCTGCCCTCTTTATTCCCTTAAAAAAAAAAAGATCCCAAAATACTTTAGGCAAGTAGTTTATGGACTGAATTATCTAGATAATTTTCTTAATCATCCAATTGACTCTGTATGTATGGGATATAATCAAGGGTATGCTGTAGCCAGCTTGGATCTGCTGCCTTGAAGATTGTTAAATTTTCAGTGGGAGCATGTATACCTCAGAAACAGGCAAATACTACAAATCAAAGTTTTCTTTTTGTTGATTGTTTGGATTTAACAAACTGGTGGACAACTTGCCAATAATGCAGGTTAAACTCAAAAGTGTGTCCTGTGTCCTTTTTTTTTTTCAGAGAGTCAGTTGTTGAACTTTACTGGAACTCCACTGGTTATAATTTTAACTAGAACAGCATAGGACAGTTTCCATGAAGTTACAGGTCAGTCCTTACTTCCTCAATATAGATGAGAACATTTCCCATGTAAATGGACCTTCTAGGAAAACATCAAAGGAAATCTTTCAATAGTACATAAAATACCTCCAGGACACAACAAAAAGCTCAGCCTCTGAAAAGCAGAAAATTTTAAAGGTAAATCTGATGTTGCATTTCTCTTTCCTCTTCCTCTTTGTTCCCCCTCCTCAGTCCCTGTGCCTGAACTCCATGGGCTCCATACCTGCCTTGGGCTTTTAAGGTCTATGAGACTGTGGTTGTACTCCTGTGTATGTAGATACAGGCTTCCCAGAGGTTGCCTTGCTGTGACCACTCAATTTACTTCCAAGTTAACAATGAAGTGAAGGGCTGCCTTTGAGTTGGCTCTGCATGTCTGCCAGTAATTATCAGTAGGGAGCAGGTCTCCTGTCCCTAGCAGACACAGAGTCATCCAAGTCAGGCAACAGCATTGCCAGACTCCTGGCAATAATAACAATGATAGCTAACACTTGAACTTTCCAGCAGAGAGCCACTGAAGGCTTTGAACATACAATCGATATGACATGTGTAATGAATATACTAATAATTTCGTTTTCTCAAGAGCTGCCCCTCTGGGTCGGGAGTCAGAACTCGTAATGGAGCTTAAACTGATTAATCAAAACTCTGCTATATCAGATTGGGAGCTGTCTTGGGGAGGAAGAGGGAGAAAAATTTAAAACTCAAAAGCTTATGTAAATGATTGTTGATAAATCAAAATAAATTAATAATTAAAAAAAAGAAAATGACTCAACGACAAAAAAAAACCAAACAAACAAAAAAAAACAAACCTCTGACAATGTTCACAACCATCCTTAATTGAATCGAATCAAAGACTGAAAAACCTGTTCCTATCACAGAACTCTGCTTCTATACTTTAGCGGAGGTGGTCACAACCCCTAAAGACTTGACTCCAGAATTGTTGTATTGTATTGTATTTCTCATGGGAAACTACTAAACTATTGTTTATAATCCACCTTCCCCAGTTGTGGTTTAAGTATATATAACCTGTGCTTTTACTTCAGCTAAGAGAACATTCCTCACTCTGAAACTGATTAAACTGTTTGATTACTGGCACTCCCATCTCTAGGCCTGCTTGGTGTGGCTCCGAGCATTCTCAGGTTAGAGACTGGCTCAGTAAAAATCCTGTTAACATTGGTTATTAGGGAATGGATAGACACTCAGTAGGATCGTGATGTTGTAACTGTTTGGATATGAGAAGTAAAAAAGAGAAAAAAAAGTCAAAGGAAGCACCAGTTTCCAGCATGAAAGATAAGATAAATGGTGCTCACAAGGACAGAAGTGGAGAATTCAGAAGGGTGAAGTTTTGAGGAAAGGATGCTATTGGAAGGGTTTATTAACTCAGTTGGGGACATACTGAGTTTTAGCAACTCACTGCCCCACCAATGCCTTTACCCTTTACTTGAACAAAATGAATATTTAATCCCCTATTTGATTTAATTATTCAATCATTTGTAAAAATTATCTGCACCTCACTTTACATGTTTACTTGTGTCTGATGTCTTTGATACACAAAGCTCCTACCAAGAGGCAGGAACTGGGCCTGATTCACTGGGTATAGGATCTAGTAAAGAACCCTGGAACTGTGAAATGATTTTGTTTTAGAGTAATGAAGATAAGAATGACTCATACACTCAAAAGCTTCCAGATTACCTTAGAGATCATCTAGTCTAAACCTGTCATTTTCCATGAGGAAATTTAGGCTCAGAGAAATGAAGTAACCTGCCCACGGTTAAACAGATGGTAAGTGGTAGGATTTGGATCAGGGTCTTCTAATAGCAGATTCAACACTTTTCCAACTAACTGCTAGTTCATCTTCCAGGAAAATTCAAATTGACAAGCAGAAGAAATACTTAAGAATATAATTGTCAGAGTTCCTGAGAGGGTATAGAGACAGTTAAGAAATACCTCCTACCTTTTACTCCTGTGAAGACATTAAGGCCACTTCATGTCATCTTTGGCAGGGGCATTACTATATTTACCCAGTCAGCAAGTCCAATCAACATTAATTAGGCAATAATTAATTAGTTATATGTCTGCCACTGTATGAAGTACTAAGGATTCAAGAAAGGCAAAAAACAACCCTTATCTTCAAGAGCTCACAATCTAAGGGGGAGGACGGGGGAAGAGGACGACGACATGCAAACAGCCACATACAAACAAGACACTAAAAGATAACTAGGAGGTAATCCCAGAGGGAAGGCACTGCAGAAGCCAGCGTCACTGGATCACACCAAGCAAAAGGGGAATCGCTAGAGATGGGAGAATAGCATCACATTGAATCTAATAATGATCTAGTGTAGCATTTTAAACACTTCTTTATAATAAACACTTCTCGTCACCTCAACAACAAAAAGGTGGGGTAAATAAGAAAAGGAAATAAGGTGTCTGAAAAGTTAGGGAGGGATCAAGTTAGGAAAGCCCGTAAAAGACAGATTTTTGGCTTTTGCTATCAGAAGGATATACAAAATACTGTTTGGTATTCAAAGCCCTTCATAACCTAGCCCCCTCCTACCTTTCCAGTCTTCTTACACTTTACTTCCCAACATGTACTCCGATCCTGTGACACTGGCCTCCAGGTTGTTCCACAAACCAGATAAGACCCTCCATCTCTCGGCTCTAGGCAGTCTCTTGGACTACTCTCCATGCCTGGAACATTCTCTCTCCTCTGTTTTGTCTACTGACCACCCTGGCTTCCTCCAAGTATCAACTAAAATCCCATCTCCAACAAGAAGCCTTCCCTAACCCCTTTTAATTCCAGTACTTTCCCTCAGTCAATTATTTCCTATTTATCCTGTAACTAGCTGGCTTCTTATTTATTTGCATCGTCTCCCCCATCAGATTGCTCCTTGAAGGCAGAAATTGTCTTTTGCCTCTTAGGTATACAAATACCCTAGCGATTGCCAGGAGCACTGTAGGTGTTCAGTAAATGTTTATTTAATTGAAATTTTATACCCGATCCTGGAGGCAATAGGGAGCAAATGGAGATTATTGAATAGGAAGGTGACGTGGTCAGACCTGCATTTTAAGAAACATTAATTTGACAGCTGAGTAGGGAGGAAGGACTGGAGCAGGGAAGAGTTTCCTCTTAAGATATGTACGTTCAAAGGAGTGAACACTGGCAATTGTGCAAATTTGGCCATCTAGGAAAGACTAGAAATGCGGAATACGTAACCCAACAGATACCCCCTTTCAAAACGGATTCGCATATGTTTTGCATGATTTCGCATGTACAATTGATATCATATTGCTTGCCTTCTCAGTGGGTATGGGAGGTTGGAGGAAGAGAATTTGGAACTCAAAATTTAAAAAAAAAAAAGTTAAACTCATTCTCCTCGGTGTCCAGTTTTGAATTCCTGTCTCAATGCGGATGGAATTTCCCAGTTAAAGAATAAGGAGATGGATGCCCGCACCACCTGGGGGTCCCAGGCTTCCCAGCAGCGCTGCAGCACCGGGGGATGGGGGAGGGGAGGGCGGAGCCGCGCGCAGGAGTTGGTTCGATGCGTGACTGGGTTCGCAGACCGAATGCGTTCAGAGAGTGGGGTAGCCCCGCAGGGCCGCGCCCCTCCCTCGGCCTCCCAGCTCGGTCGAGGGGGGGCCACCGCCCACCAGGAAGTGCGCACTGGCCCTGGAGGCGGGCCGAGGAGGAAGGGGTGGGGAAGGCGGTAGGAGGAGGAGGAGGGGTCTCTCTGCCGGACCCCTCCTCCCAAGGTAGGGTGCCAGCGCCCCACTCCGCCACGGAGAGTCGAGTCGCCAGCACGCTCCGTGGAAGTCGTGCAGTCGAGCTCCAGCCTCCGCCGCAGCCGCCGGATCCCGAGACCAGCTGGACGATGAGCGCAGGCTCGGACCCCGTGGCCATCGTCTCGGCTGCCAGAACTGCGATAGGTGAGCGGCCGCCTCCACGCCGCGCGGAGCGGGCCCAGGCGTGTGAGGCTCGGCAGCGGCCGGCGCTGGCTCGCTTCCCTACCTCTGTGCCGGGACCTTGAGGCCTAGACCGGGGCGGTGTGGGGCAGGGAGTTCTCTCCCCTGCGTGACTGCGGCCTCGCGTGGTCCGGGACGGGGAAGCGAGAAAGGAGGAGAGCCCCGCGAGGGGACGGGGCGGGGGAGAACCGACGGGGGAGACACCAGGTAGTGGGATGGCCCCGCCCCCGGCCCCCCCTGGCTCCTCTGACTGTGATTGGCTCGCCGATATAGGACCAGCTCGAATGCTGGCCCCGCCATTGGCTGGGGAAGAGATACACTCTCGGGGCTGGCGTCTGATTGGTCAGCGCCCAGTAGCGCCATCACCTTACCACATGTTTTGGGGTTTTTTTTTGCTTTTTGTTGAGGCAATTGGGGTTAAGTGACTTGCCCAGGGTCATCTTACCACATGTTTACGGGGGGCGGGGTACTGCTGCACTGGGGCTTGGGAGGCGCTCGTCTAAGTAAGAGTGAGATCGTTAATTGGGAGATTTCATTGAATTATAGTTTTACTGTATATCTAAAGGCAAGCAAGGGTGTAGTTCATTAATTGGGAAGTAAATGAAGGGTTCATTGGGTTCTAGTTTTAATTTGGAATAGCTAGGCTAGGGAAAGGTATATAGCTAGGCAAACAAGAGTTACGTTCATTAATTGAGAAATGAATGGAGCGTTCACGGGATCATAATTTTATGGTTGAAAGCAAAGTTGTGCTGGTAAATGTTTTTTAACCGGGCTGGGGGGGGGGGATCTGAGGTACATAAGAGTACTTGACACCACCATCCTCTGCTTACCTTGGGGAAAGATTTGTAACAATTGCTGGTTTTTGAGGTGTAAATGCCTTCAGTGAAAATTTAAGGTCCTCCACTAAGAACTGACTCCAGCAAACTCTTATTAGAAGGGACCTTAAAGGCCATTTTATAGATGAGGAAACTGAGGCACAGAGGTTAAGGAGCTTGCCCAGGGTCACGCAGTTATTAAGGATCTGAGGCAGGATTTGGAAGTTGGGTTTTTCAGACTCTCAGCTGCAGCGTTTTGTTTATAAGTGGAAGTTTAGTGCCTCAGGATTTAAGGACTATAACTCACCCATTCATTAGCATCATTTCTGATAAGTTATTGCATCAATATATCAGTGGGCCAAAAGCCCTGAATCACAAATGCCAAAGAGGACCAGGCTTTCTTTGAAAGAGAGCTGTCTTCATTTGTCATATTTCAATGCCTAACACTTAATCAGATACTTCGTAACTGAGGGCTGGGATTAGAGGAGATGGAGGAGATAAACACACCTTAGTAGTGTTCTCTCAAAACCGCTTCCCTGTGACAAGCTCAATTAAGGTTTCAGAATGAATGTTTTCATATTTTCTTTCAGGGTCCCTTAATGGTGCTTTATCTACTGTCCCTGTCCATGAGCTGGGCTGCACTGTCATTAAAGAAGTCTTGAAAAGGGCTGGTGTTGCTCCAGAAGATGTGTCTGAGGTCATTTTTGGGCATGTGTTGTCAGCAGGTAAGCTTAACACCGAATTTCAGATGTTAAAATATCGCTATGACTTGAGAGGGTAACACATTAGTCCTTAACATCTTAGTGTGACATCTTAACATGGATAAAATTTGCATGTTACTTTTCTCTAGGGTTAGGAGGGGATCTGAGGTACATAAGAGTACTTGACACCACCATCCTCTGCTTACCTTGGGGAAAGAAGGAAGGAAACAAAGCATTTATTAAGTGCCTCTTATGTACTAGGCAACATGCTAAGTGCTTTAAAAATACCTCATTTGATCCTCACCAGGAAGGCAAGTGCTATTATTATCCTCATTTTACAGGTTGTTTGGTTTTTTTTTTGTTTGTTTGTTTGTTTGTTTTTAGTGAGGCAATCAGGGTTAAGTGACTTGCCCAGGGTCACACTGCTAGTACATGTCAGATGTTTGGTCTGAGGCCAGATTTGAACTCAGGTCCTCCTGACTTCAGGGCGGGTGCTCTATCCACTGCGCCACCTAACTGCCCCACCCATTTTACAGTTGAAGAAACTGAAGCAGGCAAAGGTTAAGTGACTTGCCCATGGTCCTACAGCTAGTGTCTGAGGCTAGACTTGAATTTGGGTCTTCTTGAATCCAGACCTAGTGCTCTGTATTCCATTTTGCCGTGGAGCTATAGGCATGAAGAAAAAAGAAGCAGAGCCTAAAGTTTGACCATAGCTAACTCTACTGTCTTATTTTCTTGCATTTCTCTTTGTTCTTTAGTCGTTCCGTAGTTGATTGAATCAAACAGGAATGAGGATAGGGACTAGACCTGTGATTTCAGTGGTTAAAAAGGGAATTTCCAGGTGAGGAAACTCCTTCCACCTTTGCAGGTAGGCACCCTCTCTGCAACTTAGAAACTTAGGGGCTGCCTAGAACACTGACTTGCTCAAAGTCTCACAGTCAGTGTATGTCACATCCAGGATTTGAACCCAGGTCTTTCTGGCTCTCTATCAGCCACACTTCCCAGGAGGACTCTAATCCACCACATTAGAGGGCCTTCCACTCATTCTTGCTTCTACTCACTGTAAAGCCCTTGCTCTCTTCTGCTAACCCCAGGTCAAAACTCACTTTCTTCACTAATCCCTGTGAGTGCTTACCACTCTTTCTGGTTCAAACTCTTAACTCTGGCAGTCTCTCCTTTTAGGTTGTGGTCAGAATCCTGTTCGACAGGCCAGTGTGGGGGCTGGAATCCCCTACCCGGTGCCAGCTTGGAGCTGTCAGATGATCTGCGGGTCAGGCCTCAAAGCCGTGTGCCTCGGGGCCCAGTCTATTGGAACTGGAGAGTCCAGCATTGTTGTAGCAGGAGGCATGGAAAGCATGAGCAAGGTACGGCTTTTGCACAAATGAATGAGTCTGCCTAGATCCTCCCCCTAACACGGGAAAAATTAGTACTTAAGCAGCAGCGAGATAAGCTATCCCCAGAAGGGTTATGAAAAGAGTGAATTGGGAGGGGGTATGAATTGCCCTCATTTGTTGACCCTTGAACCCAACCCATTTGTTTCATTAGTGTTTGAGTAACAGTGACTTGAACTGAAAGTCAAAAAGATACATACACACTTGTGTCTCCCTTTCTTTTTGGAAAGAAGACTGGCTCACTTGGATATTACCAGGAGAAAATCTATAATAGTATTTCCTTTATCTTAGTGTTCAACACTTTGTCAAATGGTGTGAAGTGTATTTGTATATCCCAGCTCTGCCATTTTGCTACTTTTGTGACCTTGGGCAAGTCACTTGACCTCTTTCAGCCTCATTTTCCTTATCTGTAAAATGAGGAGATTGGACGAGCTTGCCTCTGGGTCCTTAAATCTAACATCATCGTTGCTTTTGTTTGCATGACAAAACCAACTCCACAAATTCCTTTCTTGAAACAACTCTTCTAACCTGTTATGGATAGTGAAAAATGAGTTACAGTCAAAGGAAAGTACAGAAACTATAATAATCTTAGACGTGTGATTGAAATAAATAAATCGCTAGAGCCAGGAGACCAGAGGAACCTAAATAGCCTGTTAGGCAGCAAACAGGTGGCTTAATTGCCAGGTAGGTTAAAACGGCAGCCAAAGGCAACACCACTTTAAAATATAAACCTGTTTGTACAATTTTACAGAGAGGGCAGGATGATAAAGATCATGAGCAGCAGTACCAAGTAAAGCAGAGGGAACCAGTGAACCGAAATCAGTTTAAAGTAATCTTGGAAAGAAACCTCACTAAAAGTCATCCAGAGTACATTGAACCGTGAGCTAAGAATGGTTTAAGGTTGAAGGTTTATTTAAAGTTGAAAATGAAAAGGAGAAACAAAAAAGAATTGGAAGACATTTATCAAAAACTGTATTCACCATCCAGCATAATACAGCCACCGCACTTGGACTCTTAACATTAGTGTCCCACATGTGCTTTTAGATGAGATGGCAAGGGGACAAAGGACAAAGAGAGGGCCAGGTGTGGTGGTGAAGCCTTTAATCCCTGCTACTGGGGAGGCTGAGGCTGGAAGATCTTTTTTTGCCATATTTGAACTCAGGTCTTCCTGAATCCCAGGCCAGTGCTCTATCCACTGCGCCACCTAGCTGCCCCGGAGGATCTTTTGAGCTCAAGTCTGATCTGCAGTGGGTTTAAGCTGATCAGGTCCTGGAACTAAGTTTGACATTAATGTAGTGAGCCCCTAGGAATAGGGGTCCATTCAAAAGGTATTGGAAAAAAGGAAAAGGTACCAAAGCTATAGTAAAGGAAAAAAAAAGCCCCAGACCTTATAATACCACAAAAATTTGTCTGAGAGAGCAACAGCAGCTACTAACCTGAATGCCTACCCTTCCATCTATTTTTTTTTTTAAAGTTATGGAACTTATCTGTGTGTGTGTGTGTGTGTGTGTGTGTG